CTGCGTAGTTGTAAAAAATGTCAGCATCATGGTAAATAATCAGCAAATCTTCAAACTAAATTTAGCGTTAATGTAAAAAAAAATTACTGCATAACTGTAACAAATAGCAGCTATGCTGAAATATGTTGGCAGGAACCACCGGTAGTCTTAAAGGCAAACCATTTTGGGAGTTGCAAACAGGTAGAAGCTTCTAGATCTGTATTCTGGTTTAGACTTTGCAGAGTAACCTGAGCTAAATATGGTCCTGCAAAGTGTTGATATCCAGCAGCTGAATGCTAACTCGTTTCACCCACCAATAAAACAGTTTTCATTTTCCTTCCACAGAAGAATTATGTAAAAATTGGTTTTGGTCTGTCACAGTAAATAAAACATTAAAGAGTTATGATGAGAAACTGAATGAAAGAGGAGAGGCTCATTTGAATGGATGATCTCTAATAGGACAGCAGAGTGTCGGTGAACTGTGTCAGCCCACTGAATGAACCTGTGCGGTGTAGGTTTCCTTTTGCCTAGAAGGTCAGAGGGTTGCCATGAATTAGAAATATAGTGATACTCCAACACGTCTGAGGCTGATCCTATCTCAGTCGGCTCCAATTTCTGCTGCACACAGTCTGCATTGTTACACGGCAACGGTCATTGGTCTCCTATCCATTGGCTCATGCTTTCCTTTCATCTTTCAGGCAAATTAGACACAAATGTAAAAATTTCACATTGCATGATATTCAAGTTCATTAATTCTGTGTCCGTTGAAGTTAATTGTCTCCCTCATGACTACAGTAGCTCTGATTATTTGGACATAAACACAGCAGGTCTTGTTATTAGCCCACTTTTAACCAATGAGGATGGCCATCTAGGTTTCTAGCAGCTTTACATAATTATTTTTATTACTGAAAGTGTTTATATATAAAACCAACTTTTTTAAAGTTTTAAAGAACATCTTTATTTTGATCTCTCGCTCAAAGTTTCCTATAAAAGCCTTTGAAATCATTTTACTATTTTGAATTTGAAGAGAGGTTCTTTACAAGTGAGGATTTGAAGGTAATGCGCTAAAAAAAAGCTGCATCTGAATCTCCTCCTCCTCTCTGCTTGATAAATCCCTCCCCATGTCTTGTCTCTTTGCTATTTTAACCAAATGAGATAGAGACCACCATGGAGGCACCAGGGAACGTAGTGTCACCTCTATTTTAAGTCTGTTGTGTTCAGCCTCCTGGAGCTTTAGTCACCAAGAGGTGTTAAGACTCTTTACTCTGTTTCATCTCTGCAGCAATTTCCTCCTTCTTTGCTTTGTTTACAAGCTGAGAGGGGAGCAGATTTCTGATTTCTTGATGCTTATTCAAATTAAAGTCTTTACTGGATATAATGTGGTTTCTGGGCTATCTGTAACGCCCCATTATATTCAAAGAACAGAGGTTTGTTTGGCTTTATTGCTCACTCAGAGTAGGATCTGTGATGGGTGTGAAAGAGGGAGGAGTTCAGCCTGGGTTTTATTGGTCTACCCTGCAACGCTCGTTTCTATCTAAAGTGGCCCTAATGACAAATATTTTATTTGGCCACTTGTTTGTTTGTGCAAATAGAATACAAGCTAAATCATTTTCAATGTTTTGACAATCATCCTGATGTGATTCCTGAAGATAGGTGGGGGAAAATATAATCAAATATATAAATGTGAATGACCCGTTAATCAATAAATAAATGTACCATTAAATATGTATACTTTTACATTTCTTAATTTATCTTATATATTATTAAAGTAGTAAATGTAGCATTAAGTTGTACCTGAATTTAAATTGAATTTACAGCTAAATGTTTAAAGATGCATTGAAAATGGATTGATCCAACTCCACCACTTCCTGAACTTCAGCAGCTTCTTTGTTTCCTGTCTTACGTTATTGGAGGCTGATTTTTCCAGGTGTGTCTGGTTAATGTCGTCACGTTATCATCCAGACTGACTACTAACTGATACGAACTCCTTTCCAGAACAGCAGCGACCACTCCTCAAAAACACCTTTTAAAAAGTTCTGCTGTTTTCTTTTCCTAACTTCTACATCTAGTTATGATGTGATCCTAATACTGTCAGCTCCTGTTATTCAATTCAGTTTATTTATTTAGCGCCAATTCACAACACGCCATCTCAAGGATCTTTATAGTTCAAGCAAAACCAGTTGATTGCATCGACTCATTGACTTGAATGCAATCCCTCACACTAAGCATGCTTGTAGCGAAAGTGGAGAGGAAAAACTCCCTTTTAACAGGAAGAAACCTCCAGCAGAACCAGACTTGGTGTGAGCGGCCATCTGCCGCGGCCGACTAGGGTTCAGGGAGACGGAAGCAAAGTTATAAAAGGCAACTGTAAAAGGCGGCCTCGTCCAGGAAAACACAGCCAGGCAGACGAGCTCCGAACCAAGTCCCATATCAGAGGATGAAGAGAGCACATCCAGCCAGTCACAGTCAGAGAAACAGGACTACACTGGAAAAACAGGCCGATCTCCAACATCTATAAAGAAAGGTGTTGATGGCAGCAGCACAGCTGATATTTCTCTCCGGTATGAGGTCACAGCCAGACAGGAACAGACCAGATGAAGCTACTATGTGAAAAAGCAAAGAGAGCATAACATTAGAGATTGAACTAATAGATTCTGCAGAGTGGGAGAATAGAGAGAGAATGATGAAATAGGGGGTCCTCATGTCCTCCAGCAGTCTAAGCCTATAGCAGCATAACTATAGAGATAGCTCAGGATAACATGAGCCACTCTAACTATAAGCTTTATCAAAAAGGAAAGTTTTAAGCCTGCCATCAAAATCAATCAATTGAATAACTTATTTAATTCATCTCTTATTACTTAGGTAAACCGTACGCTGCTGGGTCTCGTCTACATTTGCTCATGCGGGTCACGTTCGCACTGTAAACTGTTCCGGCTGGTGTCTGATGGTGGCAAAAAGAAATGAAAGGAATGTGTTTTTAGGGGGGATAAAACAGTTCTGATCATCAATAGCTGCAGTGTTAGCGTAGCCTTAGACATGTCTGAACACGTTCCCACGCTTTCATCTTTCTGATGAAAACTGCTAGTTTGAGTCTTCTTCTTTCAGTAACGGCATCTACACCGAAGAGTGTTGCTGTCTGCACACATCCCAATTAAAATGATGCTGTCTGATTGGAAAAAGATTAAGTTGTTAAATTTTTTTGAGTTTGTGATAGGAAGGTCTCCCATCAGGATCTAATCATTCTGAAATCTGATTCTTTGGTTTTCCTTTTCTTTTCTTTACTTTTTCAGCTACTCTGTGTATCAACAAGCTTGCTGCTGACTGACTTCTCCCAGTTTGTGCTGGAGCCTCCTGCTTTGCATAGTTTAACAGACTAAATCACGAGTCAGCGCTATTGTGGAGATATTTGGCTTCAGTTTGTGTTTTTCTCTGAGGTTAAACGGGTCAAAGTTAGCAGAAATGACAGGAGTTTAGCTCTATATGCTTTGAAATGCTGGTTTGTCCAGTTTGAGCCTTTCAGATAAAGAACACCAGTTATATTTAGTTCTTAGTGAGGATTTAAAGCAGGTCCACATTTCTGCTGTGTAGCTGGGATACTGTACATGTTCCCACTAACAATAGCTAAATGATGAGATAATGCGCTCAAGTTTAAAGTCACTTTTTCTTGAATAGATTATATTTGGTGCCAGACTGATTTTTCCTTTTTTTTTTTTTTTGTTCTGGCTGTTGATGTAATCCTCCATCCCTCCACGCTCTCTGCTTCACCCCTAAACCACTCCCTGTGCTCGTTACACAGAAATACAAAACACTTAACAAATTAGTCAGCTGGCTATGATGATTAAGGGTGTTTTGAGCTTGTTTTGTGTTTTCTTTGTTTTGTTATTACTGTAGTCATGTTTATGTTGGCGCTCCTTCACACATCTGTTTTACGTTGAGATGCTGTTATCCAGCTGCACGTGCTGAGAGGCCCTGGAAGGGGTCGACTTAATCGGCGGTGTACATTTTGTTCCATAGGCGGCCATTGAGCAGAGGTGGTTGTTTCTGAGCAGGGTTTCACACATGGGAAAGCTTTCCACTCATCTCACTTTCTTTTTCTCTCTCTGGTCTACTGGGATACTGGGTTACTGTCACTATAAATACACATTCATCTCCAAACCGTTCTTTACTACCCTCTGCTGTAAACAAGTGGTATTGCAGCAAAATTAGTAAGTTTTTTTTTTCTTTTACTGAGTTCTATGTGGCTGTAGAGAGAGAAACTGTGATCCATTGCTTCCCAGCAGGAAAAAAGCCAAATAATAGTATTTACCTTGAACTATTTGGAGCAGAAAGATGGAGGCACAACCTCATTAACTCCCAAGCGGCAAAGAAGGATCTAAAAATTTGCCCTTCATTAGAGCAGGAAGTAAATAATAAAATAATAATACAGTACATTTAATAAAAGATAACTGAAATGTTCTTATTTAAAGTGCAAAAGTGTATTGTTTTTATTACCTTACCCATTCAAATTTAACATAAATTAGTGTATTTCAAGAAATTTTAAATTACTTTTCTTTAATTTTCTCAGTAAAACTTCACTAGCAGCATTAAGTGTTTCAGCTCTTCATCAGGAATTGGGTTTAAATTAAAAAGTAGAATGCATATAAAACATTTTTTATTTAATTTAACAGTTAATCCCGCTGACCAATTAGTGGGACAAGGATCTGGTAGATTTTAAGGCGGCATCACCTGATAAATTTATTTATTTCCATAGATGTACAGAAAAAAGCAGACATGTTAAAATCACGTTTGCATATATTTTTAACCCCTTAACTGTTAAACAAGTATACATTATGGAAAACATGCATCTACTTTAATCGATGGAGATTATTTATTTCATTATCATATCCAGGATGCCTCTCTCACTTGGTGGAGAAACAATGGAGGGGTGTGAATACTTTGCTGTTTATACACAATGGTTACGCTGGCATTTTTCTAAAGTTGACATCATCTGCACTGCCTGAACTCTGGTGCTTCATCGCCAGATCTGCCTGGAGACGGAGCGCCTCGGCCCCCGTCGCGTGGAAAGCCTGAGGAAAGAAGACGAGGAGTGGCAAAGGAAGGCTCACGCTGCCGTGCTCTCCATCCAAGAGCTGACGGTGAAGTTCTTTGAAACCACAACCCGAGCTCAGAAAGGTAAACCGAGACGCAGAGCATTTCCTCTCATCGTGGGAAAATGCCGAGCTCTATTTGTGTCGACATTTAAGCATTTCCTTTTCATGTTTACACGACACAAACTGTTTTGAGGTCATTTCTTGCATCAAAAGTTCATGAAGCAACTTGGAATAAAACTGAAACCTGCCTGGAAATCTGCTAACTGAATCAAACTTTTCTGTTTCTGCTCCCATCACAGCTCTGTATGAGCGGATGCGTGCAGACCAGAGGAAGTTTGGGAAGTCGACGTGGGCCGCGGCCATCGAGCGCATGGAGCGGCTGCAGTACGCCGTTTCCAAGGAGACCCTACAGCTCATGAGGGCCAAAGAAATCTGCCTGGAGCAGAAGAAGCATGGCTTGAAGGAAGAGGTAGGGCATGGAGTTAATGCAGATGAAGCTTATCAGAGGGGTTTTCTGTGTTAGATTGATGCTGCAGGGGAAAAAAAGACTTGATGTTAAAAGACGAAGGAAATAAACAAGATAATAGTGTTGGAAAATTGACGTCATTGCTCTGGCATCCTGAGATGGAGGGATCGACATCCTGCTGTAGAGCAGTGGAAATGACTCACTGGGAATTACAGTCAGGTCAAATGTTTGTTTTGTTCATGTCATCTCTGAAGCTGAACACCATGAAACATGAATCCGCCTTAGTTCCCAGATCTAACTCACACCAGAAACAAAGGCGCAGTCAAATCCTGTTTATGGAGAATCAGCTAGTCCTGCAGCCCGAGGGGCTGGTGTGGCGCCGCGTAATGCTGAAGCCGTGCTTTTCTGTTTTCAGATGCAGAGTCTGCAGGGCGGGGAGGATGCAATGAAGCGCCTAGACCAGCTGGAGGCGCTTTACTACGAGCTGCAGCTGCAGCTGTACGACATTCAGGCCGAGGTGCTGCGCTGCGAGGAGCTGCTGCTGACTGCGCAGCTGCAGAGTCTGCGCAGGCAGATGATGGGTGAGCATCTTCACAGGTTCTCTCTCTGCAGTTCAGCTTGCAAACAATAAGTAAAGAGGAGAAAAATATCAATTTTACTATTAAATAAAAACCTGATTCTGCCTGATTTATTAAACTGTTTTTCTACCAGAGCAACAGGATGAGGTGGTTTACTATGATGCTTTTGAGAGTCCAGATGCCATGAAGGGTGAGGAAGAACCTGCCTCCCCACCGTCGCCCCTCAAAGATGAAGAGCTGTGCGTCCTGCAGCAGAGGACGCGGCAACTGGAGGCCCGGAGGGGCCGCATCACCGCCAAAAAAGTCTACCTCAAAAACAAGAAGGTTGGATCCTTCTGCTGCTTCAGATCTTGACAGATGTTACCAGTCAGTGATCTTAACCTGTTTTTCTTTTTTTTATTAGGAAATCTGCATCTTTAATCACAACCAGAAAATCCAGCAGCGCCAAGGAAGCAATGCAGACTGCAGCTCTCTGCAGCAGGTTGGATCAAATCATTTGCTGCCTGTTACTCCATGCATGAACATCCGTTACTCCCCTGATATAAACAAATGACTCTTTACAGATTATTTCAGCTCATAGAAGAGAAAACGACTCTTAGATAGTGCCTTCTTATTGAGGCAAATGGTTCTTTACTTCTTTGATTCAAATATCAACTGTTTAATTTTAGTTTTGAGCAGATTAAGACAAAATTGAAACAATACTTTAGTTAATTATTGTTTTTTTCATTGTAGTTTTGTCAGCAAACTTTAAAAAACATTAGTTTCATTTACATGAAAGCAAATAATATTTATTGAAAGCCTGATCAGATCAACAATATTTAATGTAAAAATTGTAAACTGATGATTCTAATCTGATCCAATCAGAAAGAAATTTTATTCACCAAGAGGAGAGAGATTAACTCAATTCAAATCAGTTTATTTCTATAGCACCAATTCACACCACGTCATCTCAAGGCACTTAACAATTCAACAGATCATACAGTCAAATTGATTCAAAGTTTTCTATCCAAGGAAAACCAGTTGATTGCATCGACTCATTGACTCGAATGCAATCCCTCAAACTAAGCATGCTTGTAGCGACAGTGGAGAGGAAAAACTCCCTTTTAACAGGAAGAAACCTCCAGCAGAACCAGGCTCAGTGTGAGCGGCCATCTGCTGAGGCTGACTGGGGTTCAAGGAGACAGAAGCAGAGATACAAGAAGAAGCTGTAAATTAACTCACCCATTCAGATCTTTGGAGTAAAATAATCTCCACTGCTTATATGTAAAACCCCTACTTATTTCTCCACCATCTTCCCAGAAAATCAGACCGGTCTGTGCAGGTTTAAACGATTTAATCTGTAGGAACGCTTGGTGCATGTTTACACACATCATGATTCATGATTAATTTAGTGTCAATATAAAAAGAGATGTAGAATTTCCCATCAACCAACGTTTAGATCAGCTCCGGGAGATTTAGCGTATTTAAATGTAGCTGCTGTAACTTTTGGCCTCTAGAGGCACTAGACCTGAAAATTCTAGGTTTATCCCCTCTGAAAGAAAAAGGCAACACTGCTGCAAATTAAACCGTTTTCCTCAGTGTTTTGGTATCTGAGATTATCTAACTTTGGATCTACTGACTGAGAAGTCTGGATTTGATCTAAAGGGGCGAAGGTGCCCCTTTAGATCAAATATGACTACAGTCAGTCTGGGATCTTGGATCGAACTCGCTCTAGTTATATAGGCGAGTTTTTGAGAACAGCAGCTGTGTCAGAGCATCAATAAACACCAAGAGCTGCATATTGATCTGAAAATCATTTGATATATCTCAAATTTAGGCTAATCAATGCAATAATTAAAATTAAAGTAATTCATGTCTTTAAAATAAGTCAATTTTCACTGACTTGAGGAGATGGTGATACAATTTGCCAATGGAATAAATTATTTTCATTTAAAATAAGAAGATGCATATTATCCAATTATTTTAAGGGCAGAAATACTCATATCTATCCATCTTATTTACCTGCCAAAATGAAGCAAAATTACACTTATTTTAAGAAATGTTTTAGATAATTTTTTTGTTGGGTACTTTGGTCAAAATTGTTGATTTAATGTAATTATCATGTGTAGGGATATGAAGAAATATGATTCTTAAAAAGTGGAGAACATCTGGATTAAGCTTGAAGCTTTTTGGGTGTGTGGCTTTATTTCTGGACGATAGCTGGACGAACATACCTCGGTCTGAACCTCCCAGCGTTGTTTAGGGTCGTTTTCTTAATCTGGTAGCGGTGTGTTCAGGGGAATCTGCAATAAGAGTTTTATCCTAAAAAAGGAAGTTTGAATCTAAGCTTAAAAGTTTTAGTTACATTTGGCTGGAAGAAAACTTTTGTCAAACATTGTGCTGAACCTGAAGTATGGTTTTATTTGTTTTATGTAAGGGGGGAGAAGCTGCACAAGATGATGAAGCAAAGAGAAATGCATCTGTGAGTCAGGAGAGGCAGAGGACTCTGGACAGACTTCGCAGCCTGAAACAGGTGACGCTTCAGTCGCAGCACTGCGCTTTCAGGATGAACTCCCCCCGTTTCCCTGCTGATGGTTGGTTTTGTCTTCTCTGCCCGCAGCGTTACCCGGGTCAGACTCTGAGGTCCAGCCGTCTGCGTCTGACTCAGACTCACAGCCGGAGGCGAGCGCCGCCGCCGCAGCACAGCACCCAGGCGGTCAGCGTCCAAACCGACTCCATCTCCGACCTCCCGGAACTCTCCGCTCCGCCTCCCCCGGACGTCTACAGCTGCGACGGCGCCTCGCTGCCATCCATCGCCATCCAGAGCGTCGAAGCTCCGCCTTCATTCCTCTCGCTGCCTCCCCTCTCATCGTCTCCTTCCCCGTTCCCAATGGGGCCCTCTGTCGCACCTCCTCCTCCTCCACCTCCGCCGCCTCCCCCACCTCCTCTGTCGCTCCCTCCCATAGAGAACCAAACCACCAGCCCTACGAAGCAGCAAACGTGTGAGGTCTCGGAGTGCACCTCGCTGCCGCTGGCTCCGTTCTCCCCTCGGTTCTTTGACAGCAGCCAGCTGCTGACTGCGAGGAAGAAGCTGAGGAAGACGGCGTCTCTGGACTCCTCACAGTGGAGGAAAGGTGAGGAAAACCAGGCCTCTCTGCCCACCAGGCCGTAGCTCCATGGGGCTTCAGCAGAGTTAGATTTAAGCTCCATATTCCTGTTAGAACATCATCACAACTCTAGGAGTCCAATATAGATTAGTTATAATCTGAGTGGGCGGGGCCAAGCTTGATTGGCTAAATTTTAAAGTTGCTCCCAGATCATCTGTTTGAACATTTGTTTTACCGTTTAGCTTTTACCCTTTAAGAAGTAACCTTCAAATGATTTCATTCTGAAATTACAATCTTAAATGATTTAAAATAGTTTCTTTTATCAGTGATAAAGCTGTAATATTATTTTATTTGGGATTGAAAAAACAAATCTAAATGATTTAGATCTATGGTCCGTGTAGTTATGGCCCCTCTATTAGGTTGGGGGGCAATTAGAGAGCCTTAGCTCCACTTCCTCGGTGGCAGCTACTGGAAGAAAGAAGTCTGTCTGTTATAAAAGTTACAAATGTTCATTTGGAAAGTTTTGAGGATTTATTTTCTCACTTCTTCTTGCACAAATTGGTTAGTTCCCATCATTGAATGATGGAAAAACTCCACATTAATCCACAGTAATCAGTCAGTGGGCCTATATATAAGGCTACAGGTAGTCACTATGCTGGTGGTGACATGGTGTCTACCACACTCAACATGGACCAGAGGAAGAGAAGGGTCGTCTTAGATTAGAAAGAAAATTATAAACCATATAATTCCATATTAAGAATGGAAACAAAAGAGCCTAGAAAAACTTCTCAAGAGATTAAAGATGAACTTCCAGCTTAAGGAACATCAGTGTCAGGTCTATGGCTGCAAATAAAAATCATTTCCTAACCGATTAATCTGTAGATTATATTTTAGATTATTTAATTTTGATTTAGATTAGGGTTGCAACAATTAATCGGATTAATTGCGATTAATCGTTTATTAAAATAATCGTCAACTAATTTAGTAATTGATTAATCGTTAACTTGAGTATAGAGACTCTAAAACATGCATTTAGTTGACAGAGCAACTCACTTAGAGGAGTAAATATATCAAAATAAAAAAATATATATAAATATTTGGCATTTAACATAAACAAAAACTTTCTTTATCCGATTATAAATCGATTAATTAGGAAAATAATTGACAGATTTATCGAATTGCAAAGTAATGGTTAGTTAAAGCCAGCCCTAATTTAGATAATTAATAATCACAATCAAAAAAGATTTTTTTTATAGAATTTAAGTCACTGAACGTTTTCCACTTGAGGAGTTCTGGATAGATTTTATTAATTGGTGAAAATGTTTTTTAATCAAAATGTGTTTTCAAAATTTTTTCTTTTTACAATTTTGTCATAATTACTGTTTTAACTGGGTTGCTATGTCAACTAAAAGAGGTTAGATTAGATTAGATGAGCTTTCTTGATCTCACAGCGGAGAAATTTACTGGTCACATATTGGCATAGTAATTAAAGAAGGTGCAAACAAGGAGGAAAAGGTGCATTAGGAATAAAAATAAATAAATAAAACATTAGCGGACCGCGGTCCGGATCAGCACCCACCTGCTGGCTAATCTGGACCCAACCTGATTTAAAACATTTATAAATTACCACATGTTGTCTGAGCACAGTGTCTAACTTCACTTGCACCTCTTTTCATGTTAATATGGTAAAGCCTTCCGGAGCGTCGGGACCAGGCTACATGTGATCCAAATTAGCCAATGAGCTGCTCAGTCTGGGTTGCTTCTGCTGCTACTTTTAGACACAGCAGGCAAACCTGTGGCGATGGGAAAGAAAGTTGGACATTAACCTGCATTTGTTAGAATTTTCTTTACCTCAAAGGTCTTGGAAGGGTTACTGTTGCAGGTGGTTAAATTCCAGGAGTTTAAGGTTCAGGGTGGCATCGTGGTTTAAGCTGCTTAGAGTGTCATTTCTTGCCAATAAAGTGTTCCTTTAATGTTTGGACCGTTGTCTCCGCAGCGAGCTCGCCGATGGACGAGGTGTTAGCTTCGCTCAAACGGGGCAGCTTCCACCTGAGGAAGGCCGAGCTGCGGGTCCTCGGCCCCGACCCGGACGACGACAGCAACAACATCCTGGCTCAGATCCGACAGGGCGTCCGCCTGAAGAAGGTCCGCACCCGACCGGAGCAACAGCGCCACCCCAAGAGCTTCCTGCACTCGGCCGACGCCCTGACCCGCAGCATCCACGAGGCTCTGAGGAGAATCAAAGAAGCTTCTCCCGAGTCGGAGTCTGAAGACGAAGGCCTTCCCTGCACTGACTGGGAAAACTGAGGCGCTTTAAGGGAAGAGATTTAAATGTTTTGTTTTTATACCTTTTCTGTGCAGCCAAATCAAAGAGGAAACGAAGAGCTGGAGAAGCAGACAAGCCGGGGTTTCCCGAAGGCACCTCGGTGCTGTCAGAACAAAACAAATCAGCCGTGTTTTCCTTTTGTACTCGTGTTTGTAAAGAAAACGATTCATTTTGAACGCGTTGCTGCCGCGGCCTTGACAAAGGCCGCAACCTCTGACCTCCTGTTACATCAGAGTCGTACTGTAGCTCGTTGTGATGGGTTTGTTAGCAGAAGGAAACCTCTCTGCTGTGAACATTTATTCTACGCCAGCTTCTCACTGAAAACACTGTATAGTTTAAACTTTGGTGATGGAAGCATCATCAATCGCTCTTTTTTGTACACTTAGATATATGCAACCCCTCCCACTAATTGAAGTGGCTTTAAATTGATAATTTTTTGTAGTTATTGCCTTTAGGGAAGGTATCTCTGCTCTGCCTGAGCTTACAGCCGGCAAATAGTGCACAGATTTAAATCATCATATGAACCTGTGAAGGAAAATCACATGCCGTTTATGCCAGGTCAGTATTTTGATAAAATACCTTCATCTCAAAGATGAGGGTGTAACTGATTTTACTGCCATATGAGTTAAAAGATATATTTACTGTACCGTTTACTCATCAGCTCAGTTGGTGGTGACCTTCACTGGAGAGCAGACGGAGTATTTCAGGTTTAGAGAACACGTCTGGTGTGGATGCAGGTCAATAAATCTAGATTATCCAGCCAGAGATTATTTGACATGGATTAATAATTGTTTAGAGCACAATTTTTTTATCTTCTGACACCCGTTTTGTTGGGACATTACTGCCCTCTGGTGGCTGGGAGTCGCATCTTTGCTCATTACGCACTGCAAAACAATCTAAAAAAATAAACATTTCTTAGATAAAGTGCATTTAACCTTAATTTGAGCAAGTAGATAAGACGATTTGCCAATTGACTAAATATATTTACTCTTAAAATAAGATAATTAGATAATATGCACCTGAAATGATACAATGCAATTTCTTTTTTTCTTATTTTAAATGTAAATTGTCTCGTTCTATTGGCAAAGGGTCTCACTTCCTCAATTCAAGCATAAATGCACTTATTTTAAGAAAAAAAACTTTTTGCAGTGCAGCCGGAGGATTCCAAGTGATTTTTGCAGCGTTTTGATGATTTCTTTTTCCTTTTTTGACTGCCTTGCTTGTTTGTTTTTTATTATTTGTGTGATTTTAAACGTTGTGTTTGTTTGGCGTGTGATTGGTTATTTTAGTTTTTTTTAATTGAATATTTTTAAATGTTTTTTATATACTGAAAATCACCTTCATGTACTGTGGCTTTGTTGGTTTTTGCATTTTCTTTCCTATTGATTTTTATTTTTTTTAATGTTTATTCACATTAAGTATCATTTAGATTAGCTAAGCATCAAAAGGTAAAGCCCAACAGTGAAGCAAAGGATGCCTAAACAGCATCAGATCACCCCAGCAGTCGATATATCTTTTAAGAATTCTTTTATTTTTTATTTAGAATAATTTATTTACACTACAAAGCTGTCGGGCTGTGCAGTAATGGTTATAAATGTGTAAATTAACCTTGATTTTCAGAGCAGAATGTATCCAACAACTGAAAACTTTAAAAAAGCAGCGCATTTTTTTTCTGTTTCTGGAAGTTTCTGATGAAAGTTTGTAATATTTAGAGTTTTCAGAGTGTAAAGACATTTTTAAAACATTTATGGAGTTGCCCCAATACTCACACTACACTCTATCAAGTCAGGCTTGGTGATATATGAAAACAATACTTTATATTAATATCCTGATTACCATAAAAGTGAAAGTTAAAGAAACAAATTACTTTGAAGACTTTCTTCACTCATTAAAAATAAACCCACTTCAAAAAGACATCTTCAGGACACCAGATAAATAAAGTATGGTTTTTTTATCGAGCATCCCATAGAAACTGCATTTAATCGTATTTTTTTTTTGTTTAGCAACGACACAATTCGGAGGGAAAAAATAGAGAAATATATATATATATAAAAAAAAAGTTCTGACACTTTCTGACACCGTTTTTATTTTTAATGATCAATAATTCTAATGTATCATTTAGACAATTAATCGAAATTTTTATGACTAGACATTGCAGTACCAGACATATCGACTCTCACCTCTGGGTTATAACTGCAAAGGTCGCAGTAACTAGTCTGTTTCTGCTAAAATACAACAAATCATTTGATAGTCATATATAGAGTTCTGCCTTAAAGTTATCATACCCTTTTATTAAAGAAAATTATTAATTCACACTAGTAATTCAAATAATCGCCAAGCTGAAGAGAGTAACAATCAAAATTCCCTTAATGACCATTTATTAAATATTTTTCAAATTGTGGTTAAAATAAATTCTATCACATATACCTAACTATTCATCTATTTATCTATATTTACAGTTAAATAGATAAATATATATATATTACTGGCGGCTGATTTTATACAGTAGAGTAAACGATGCATGATGTCAACACTTAAACTTTAAAACCCTTTTTTTCTGCACAGGAAGTTACCAACTTCTTAATTAATTATGTTTTTGCTCATAATGTCAGATGCAGAAATGAATTGTGGGTAGAATACGGTGAAATCAGCTCGACAAGAGTGGAAGTAGGAGTATTGCTGCGCCTCCTTAAATGCTGACAGGTTACACCCACTGCTTTCATCATGTTTGCTACATGTTATGCTAAGCTAACATCTGGCCTACAGACTGCTGCTAAGCGTTGGAAGCCATCGCCGTTCATTTGCACACTGTCCCAGCTGATGGGTTTAACTTTTACTGGTTTATTGGTCGATAGGAAAGTGATTAGGATTGTTTTTTTTTTGTTTCCAACTTTAGCATCAGACCAGTTTGAGGAGGACAAACCCATCACAACATTAGTGCAATAACGAAGATTGGAGAAGGAAAAAAAAAAAGTCATTTAATGATTTATACTGTAAAGCAAATGTAAATCATGAGAAATGTATCCACATGCCTAAATGTATTGAAATATTTATTGAATCTCATATTTTAAAGATTTTTTCTTTTTTAAATGTACTTGATAAGAGTTTCTATCATTTCATTCCTCTCTGCTTTCCCATAACCAACAAATGTTTATTTTTCATTTCATATTAAAAGCACCAAAAATGTCTTTTAAATTTTGTTCTTTGTTGTTTTGTTTATCTTTATAAGTAGAAATTATAGTAAAAAAAAAAATATAGCAGGTTTTTGTTAGGGTGAGAAATCCAGAAAATAGGTTAAAGATTTTTCCTGCCTTTTAATGTGGCGTATAGCTTCATCAATCCAACAGAAATCTAATTAGATTTAATGTATTTAATGATTATTTTAAAAAGTAATTAAAATACATGATTCTTACGGCCATTGGTGGAAAACAAAGGAAAATAGAAGCTCACATCAAGAGTTTTAATTAGAATCTTGTCTTTTCTTCCTCTTCATGCATCGCCTCGGCTCAGCTCACTATGTTTATGTTTGTGATGGTAGGACAGAAATCCATCCGGAACAAACCGGTCCGTCTTCAGGTGGCGTCTAATGGTGGCTGGACGCTTTTAGCCGCTGAGATCTTTATGTTTTCAGTCACCCTGAGTGATAAGATATAGATCTATGGCTATAGCAAAAAAATTACCTGCTTAAAATGAGCCAAATACTCTTAAATAAGAGAAAATTGTCTTATTTATAAAAAAGGACTTAGGCTTAAAATAAAATCATATGCTGGAATTTCAATTGTTTTACTCAGTTACTAGTAAATAAAGCTAAATAAAACCTAAAAATATAGACATATGCAACTGATCGAGTTTGATTTTTCTTGTGCAAAACCTTCTTGTTAAGATTTACTTTTAAAAACCGTTTAACAAACGTTTGTCATTTATTTTTACTACTGTTAAACTTACCAAAATGATACCACCTGAGTTTAATCTTTTTTTTTTTTTTTTTTTTTTAACAAAGGACTTTTCTCCCACATTTGTGTGTAAACAATGGGCATATTTTAAAAGAATTTCACAAATACTGCTAGTTTTATCTGTAGCTAGAAACATCTGGTTGAAATATCTTAATATGGTTGAAGTTTCCAGAGATAATGTTTTTAAATTGCAGTTAGACTAGAGGTCCAATATTCTATTGGAAATATGGCTTATATCAGTAGGAACAGAACTTATCTTAGTTGGATTTGTATACAAATAATTTAGAAAGGGGATTTTATTTGATTAATTTAAGAGTTATTATAGACAGGGTAATATTCTTTATTATATAGTATATTATATATTATATTATTAACATTTTTTATAATTTGTTGATTATCGCTTACAGATAGACAGTTCACTTTATCACAGAGGTCATGGATTAGCGGACTGCGGTCCGGACCCGACCTGATTTAAAACATTTATAAATGACATGTTGTCCAACGACAGTGTCTAACTTCACTTGCGCTGCTTCTCCTGTTAATACGGTAAAGCCTTCCAGAGTGTCCTGGACCAGGCTACACGTGA